GCTTATCATTTCCTTCTGCTCCTCGTTGGGTTCGACACTCTTACTTATCGAAAGGACTACGATAGATCCCCTATGCTTGTGGGTCATCAATTACGTCCCTCGAACTCTAGATCCAGCTGAGGCCGAGGGAGAGTTTCGTCAGCACGACGGTGTGTTGACGGTGATGATGAAGTTACCGATGCAGGGCTTCGCCTAAGCACTACGACAATATGATCGAGGTGGAAATCTGTGGAGGGGGCACCACACACGGCTAAGATCAACTTCTGTGTCTATGGGGTGCCCCCCTCCCCCGTATATAAAGGAGTGGAGGAGGGGGAGGGCCGGCCTCCTAGGGCGCGCCCCAAGGGGGAATTCCTACTCCTACTAGGAGTAGGTTTCCCCCCTTTCCTAGTCCAACTAGGAGGGGGAAGGAAGGGAAGAAGGAGAGAAGGAAAGGGGGGCGGCCCCCCAAACCCTACTCCAATTCGGATTGGGCCTAGGGGGCGCGCGCCACACCTGGCCGCCTCCTCCTCTCTTCTACTATGGCCCATCAAGGCCCATTAACTCCCCGAGGGGTTCCGGTAAACCCCCGGTACTCTGGTAAATACTCGATACACCTCGGAACCATTTCGGTGTCCGAATATAGTCATCCAATATATCAATATTTATGTCTCGGCCATTTCGAGACTCCTCGTCATGTCTGGGATCTCAGCCCGGACTCCGAACTACCTTGGGTACATCAAAACACATAAACTCATAATACCGGTCGTCATCGAACGTTAATCGTGCGGACCCTACGGGTTTGAGAACTATGTAGACATGACCGATACTCATCTCTGGTCAACAAATAATAGCGGAACCTGGATGCTCATATTGGTTCCTACATATTCCACGAAGATCTTTATCTGTCAAACCGCATAACAACATACGTTGTTCCCTTTGTCATCGGTATGTTACTTGCCCGAGATTCGATCGTCGGTATCATCATACCTAGTTCAATATCGTTACCGGCAAGTGTCTTTACTCGTTCTGTAATGCATCATCCCGCAACTAACTCATTAGTCACATTGCTTGCACGGCTTATAGTGATGTGCATTACCGAGAGGGCCCAAGAGATACCACTCCGACAATCGGAGTGACAAATCCTAATCTCGATCTATGCCAACTCAACAAACACGATCGGAGACACCTGTAGAGCATCTTTATAATCACCCAGTTACGTTGTGACGTTTGATCGCACACTAAGTGTTCCTCCGGTATTCGGGAGTTGCATAATCTCATAGTCATGGGAACATGTATAAGTTATGAAGAAAGCAATAGAAATAAACTAAGCAATCATAGTGCTAAGCTAACGGATGGGTCATGTCAATCACATCATTCTCTAATGATGTGATCCCGTTTATCAAATGACAATTCATGTCTATGGTTAGGAAACTTAACCATCTTTGATTAACGAGCTAGTCAAGTAGAGGCATACTAGTGACACTCTGTTTGTCTATGTATTCACACATGTACTAAGTTTCCAGTTAATACAATTCTAGCATTAATAATAAATATTTATCATGATATAAGGAAATATAAATAACAACTTTATTATTGCCTCTAGGGCATACTTCCTTCATCGGGGGCTACTGGGCTTCGGACCTATCATTTATTAATATTAAAGGGGCACATTGATCCCCTGATCTGGTGTTGCCACCCGACCAGTGTCTCGGGGGCTACTGCATTGCCTATTTAATACAGAAAATTCAAAGTGCTCAGTGTTTGGCTTGACCGAACTATGGGCAAACGCGTCTTTGGACAACAATAGGTACCATCTGGGACTTATCCGGCATCAAGCTAATATATCACAGCGACTTCTCAAAACCCTCTCTCAAGGGCCCGTTCGCTGATCACTATTTCCTCTAATATATTGCACCGCGTTTCTATTCCTAAGTATGCTGCCGAGCTGGGAATTGATCCTCAGGCCGGTTTCACGAATCGACCTGAGTCTCAGGGGCTACTGGGATCAGCGGTTTGATTTTATCCTTCAGGTGCATCCCGGATATTAGGCCAACATGCAGCTTGAGGGCTACTAGCTATACATCTCGGCAGAGAATACATTGCACAAATCGGAATTAAATTCATATAAATCAGCCCATGGCCGAGGTGGCGCACCACCTCGGATACAGTCCGGCGTTGGAGCCCAGATACAGTCCTGCGTTGGTGCTCGACTGCAAAAGCTCGGTTGCAAGTTGCTGGCTCCATAGAGGGCATCTCCGACATTAAGCTTGGTTCTACCCTTTTAACTTTTTCAAGACCGAGGTAATCTATGACACTTCGGATACAGTCCGGCGTTGGAGCTCGGATATATTCCGGCGTTGGAGCTCGGAAGCGGTCTGGCGTTGGTGCTCGGCTGCAAAAGATATCTCTGATGCAGTCCGGTGTTGGAGCTCGGACGCAAGAGGACACCGCCGCACGGGAACAACTTAAAACCCCAGGTGTGGCGTAAAAAATAACAAGGCATTGCTAAAGGCCGAAAACTTAAAGGGGCTCCTCGGATACCCGACGTGTAGACTCTCCGGATTCACTACAGTGATCCTCAAGATCGAAGATGAGAAGATTTGTTGAACCAGTTTCCAAGACCGGCGACCGGAGATGAAGAACAGTTCGGAAGAATCGAGGAGTGTCCCCAACTTGAAGACCGGTTCAGGGGGCTACTGACGGTGTCCTGGACTCGGGGGTACTCACCACGTCATCTCCCAACCAGCTGGATCGGATCCAGGATCCCCATGGCGGTTCACTTATGGGCCACTTCGGGCAGCCCATGCCGCATACAAGGAGGATTCCACAAGACTTGGCGCCCAAGACAAGGACTCCTCTAAACCCTAGGCCTCTGGTGTGTTATATAAACCGTGGCCAGGCTAGTCAATAGAACATCTAATATTCATTAGAACAATCTCGTGGTAGATACATGTACCCTGTACTACACCCATATCAATACAATCAAAAGCAGGATGTAGGGTTTTACCTCCATCAAGAGGGCCTGAACCTAGGTAAAATCAATGTTCATATTACCATGTTCCAAGACGTCTAGCTTAGGACCCCTACTACG